TTTATCTAGGAACCCTACTTCCCACCTCCTTTGCGTTTAGACATGGCCATGTGACTAAGTTCTAGCTAGTGGAATGGAATGATGTGTTGACTCTTCCAGGCTGGCTCTTTAAAACTTTTCCAGGAGTAGAGAATTCTGTGGAGCTAGAGGAGGACAAAGTCACAAAATGGACAAGACCGGGTCCCCAATAATTGGGCAGAACAGACCTCCCTTCCTAAACCTGTACTAAACTATGAATGAAAAGGAAAGGAACAGCCACTGAGTTTTGGCGGTTGTTTGGTATCACAGTTAACCTACCTTGGCTAATATCCCTGATCCCTAAATTCAATAGCTTTTCTTATCTTTCCCTTAACCTTAACAGCATATGACCCTGCTAACCATTTCTTTTTTCTTGAAACTTTTTTTTTTTGAGACAGGGTCTCACTCTGTCACCCTGGTTGGAATGCAGTGGTGTGATCATGGCTCACTGCAGCCTTGACCTCCTGGGATCAGGTGATCCTCCCAAGTAGCTGGGACTATAGGCACATACCAGGACAACCAGCTAATTTTTGTATTTTTTGTAGCGATGGGGTTTCACCACGTTGCCCAGGCTGATCTCAAACTCCTGGGCTCAAGCGATCCACCCACCTCAGCCTCCCAAAGTGCTGGGATTACAGGCGTGAGCCACTGTGCCTGGCCTTGAAACTCTTTTTCCCCAATGATAGAATTTGTTTCTGGTCCTTTAATTATAATAATGATAATAAAATAGCTACCATTCATGAAGTTCCTGCCACATGCCAGGCATTGTACTAGGTGTTTTATCTTCATGACAACTCATGTGGTAGATGCTACTGCCCCATTGTAGATGAGAAAACAGGCTGAGAGAGGTTGAGCCACTTGCCCACACTCTTAGAGCCTCTCTCTTTTCTCTCTAAACTTTTTGACAATCCCATCCAATAGCATGGCTTCTGTAATTACCAGGTCTGTGTGGATGACCCCCTGACCACTCTCCTGGTCTCCAGTCCCACATTTCCCGGCACATAAATGTGCTGCTGCCATCATAAATCCAGCATGTCCAAAATGCAGTTATTCCTTTGTTAGCACTGTACTCAACACTTTTCATCTGGTAACATTTAGTTCCCACCACTACCCTATGGGATGTTATTTATCTATGAGCTAGATATTATTATCTACATTTTACAGATGAGTAAACTGAGGCTTAGAGAGTCAGTATCTGGCTCAAGTTTCACAGCTAGTACACAGTAGAGCTGGGCTTGGGGCTGATTTCAAAGCCTAGATTAAGACCTCACACACTGAAGTCTTAATCTAGGCTCACACTGAGCTCTCTCTGTCCCATCCTGTTCCATTTCCTGCCTTCTATATTCATTCTCTACCCTTAACTTTCTTTTTTATTCCTCCATTACCAAAAAGCTTCCAAAAAGAAGCACTTTTTTTTCTTTTTATACCCTTAACTTTCAAATCCTACCTATCTTTCAAAGTCTAGCTCAACTACCATTTCTCCATAAAGTCTTTTCAGGCATCCCAAGCTAGAAGGGATCTCCATCTTGTGTGAACTTACAGAGTACATGCTCTGTGCTTCACTTACCTTTTTCTAAGTGCACAAATAAAACTTGAATTCATTCTAATCATAAAGAGTTCAAGTAGGGCTGGGTGTAGTGGCTCACACCTGTAATCCTAGCACTTTGGGAGGCCGAGATGGGTGGATCACGAGGTCAGGAGTTTGAGACCAGCCTGACCAACATGGTGAAACACTGCCTCTACTAAAAAATACAAAATTAGCTGGACATGGTGGCGGGCTCCTGTAACCCCAGCTACTTGGGAGGCTGAGGCAGGAGAATCACTTGAACCCGGGAGGCAGAGGTTACAGTGAGCTGAGATTGCACCACTGCACTCCTGCCTGGGTGACAGAGCAAGGCTCTGTCTCAAAAAAAGAAAAAGATTCAAGTAGTGAGATACAGAGCAAGAAGAGTCCTTTTACTCCCCAGCATTTATTGTTTTCTGCCTTGATTAATTTTTCTGTGTCTGCTAGCAACTTTATTAGACAGTTATTTGAGGACAGGAGGCATAGTTGAGTCATCTTTATTCCCCTAAAGTCGGTATTAATAAACAATTACTGAAAGAATCAATCAGTTTCGAATCCCTTGAGCCTGCACATATTACATTTTTAGATGACGGTGAGAGGGTCTGTTCAGAAAAGTGACATTTTTCCAGGAGGACTGGTAAAGGCATGTCAAATACTCTCTCTCCTCCCACCTTCATTAAAGAACAAAAAAAAGCATCTACTTCTAGGTAATTCTAGGTGTCTGGTTTCTGTTTTAGCAGGGTCTCGGAAGGAAATGACTCTTCTCTGAAATTGTAGACACCCCACCTAGCTGTGGCATTGTTAGACCTCAGGGTAAACAGGAAACTTCCTGCCTTGGGCCCTTCAAGTCCTTCTCCCAGACTAGTAAAGAGACTGTTAATAGGATGGTAAAAGGACAGCTGCTGGTCATAAAATCGGCCCATTCTGTAGATCCTTGGAGAACAACTAAATCCCTGCAAGGTCAGAAAGAAAACTTTGTCCAGCTCACGCCAGGTGTGTCCACCTTGTTGGGCTCCTGTTACAGGTTTCTGGGTATGATGAGCTCTAGTTAAGCTGAAACTGCCAGAACAGTGACATCACACCTACCTTATGGGGTCTGAGTCACCTCTTCCAGTAGATGAATAATCAGTCCTGATTATCCCCCAAAAGGAGGCAAAGAGGAGAGCAAAGAACCCAGAGCTCCTACCTCAGCAAGAGAGAGCCAAAACTGGACCCCAACACTTCCTGCACACAGGGTGGAAGTCTCTGGATTTGCAGCTGTTGGCAAGGAGAAAGGAAACAGTTTCTGCCAACTGGAAGGACATTAGGGCAGGGGTGATCATCTTTTGCCAAGAAGGGCACTCGGTGTTTTGGCAGAAGACAGAGGGCTGCCCCGATCGGTGTGTACATTTTCAGAAGCATTTGACTCTGGACCAAATTCTCTCAGCTGTGCTAGTGCTGCAGCGATGGATGGGAAATGCTTATTAGCCAGTCTGACCAGAAGCTCCAACAGAGAGTGCTGGGGCTCAGCCAGGAGCTTCCCTTCAGCTGGCAAGTTTAGCTTTCTGTCACGGTTAGAGGGAGTGTGTCAAAATTCCAATTCTTGAGTCTTTCCAGAAGCTGCTTATGATTACCCATCTGTTTTGAAGAGTTTCTACTTACTGGACTTTTCCGGTTTAAGTGGGAAATAAGAGTTGATGGATGTTACAGAGCCAAACTCTTATCTGGCTCAAGGAATGGGCAAAAGTAGCTCAGCAGGGGTCAATGATCTTACTACAATTATAGGGATAGGCTCATGATCAAACAGGGGCCAGGAAGCAGGGCAGATACTATTTCATTCCACCTTAGACTTAGGTACAGTTTACCAATTCCTGCCTCTGTGTTGGCTCCTCTAACCCATGTCTACCGATATCAAGCAAGGAGGCACCTGAGAACGGCACAACAGGCACCTTATCTGCCAGATATCACTGCTTTCCCTCATTCAAAGGAAAGACCACCTAAGTTCCTCCCCAGAGTTGCACTCCAGGGGTGGAGGAGGAGTTTCTTCTAATTGCTGAAGAGAGGAGAACTAGGCATTTTCTCCTAAAATCACACATTTAAGCCTCTACATAAGGGTCTAGACTGGGGGGATTCTGTTGTTTAAGGCAGTTCTTAAGATCTTAGAGCAGAAAGGGACTTACAAGAGACTGTATGGTTCACCACCACCCCCTGAAGAATATCATAATTTCGGAGGAGGTAACTAAGGTTCTGAAAACTCTCCCAAGTCACATGGCTGGTAAATGGGGTTTTACTGAGAGGACTAGAATCCAGGGTTCCTGATACCTTCTTCTTACCCTTTTCCCTCCAACTAATTTATATTATCTTAATTTTTAAAAGTTATTTTACTTTTTCAGAAAACTGTCAGCTTAAAAAAAATTTTAAGAAAAAAATTATTTTACTTTTTACCACAAAAAAGAAACAGCATCAAAATATTTGTATTATTTTTATTTTTTGCTTTTTTGAGTCAGAGTCTCACTCTGTTGCCTGGGCTGTAGTACAGTGGCGTGATCTCAGCTCACTGCAACCTCTGCCTCACAGGTTTAAGCAATTCTCATGCCTCAGCCTCACAAGTAGCTGGGATTACAGGTGTGCACCACCGCGCCCTAATTTTTGTATTTTTAGTAGAGATAGGGTTTCACCATGCTGGCCAGGCTGGTCTCAAACTCCTGGCCTCAAGTGATCTGCCCACTTCAGCCTCACAGAGTACTGGGACTACAGTGTAAGACATCGTGCCCACCGTGTATTATTTTTAAAAAGGCAATTAATTGCACATATAACTGAAAGAAGTTTAATTTGCATATCTTTGTAAGATTTTTTTCATATAAATAAAAATAAATGCACAAATCATAAAAAAAAAAATCATCAGAAACAATGTTCCAGTTGGAAAAAATGGTCCCACTTCACTATTGCCACTACACTGTTCAGGCCTGTACCATCTTGTGTGGACGGTTAGCAGCCTGTCAGTTAACTTTTTTTTTTTTTTTAAAGACGGGGTTTCACCATGATGGCCAGGCTGGTATTGAACTCCTGACCTCAGGTGATCCACCCACCTCGGCCTCCCAAAGTGCTAGGATTACAGGCGTGAGCCACCACGCCCAGCCAATAAATAGCCTGTCAGTTAATGCCTTTGATGAAATTTACACTTCAATAATTGACATTTAAATTACACGCAGGTCTGTGGTAGATTTAAGACTGTCTCTGCTATGGTGATTGACCAGACAGATCCAGGTGTACTTTAGACTTGGAATAAAACAATCTTCAGTTACAGAGACTATTGTTACTCTAAAATTTGCCCTAGCCAGGACCAGAAGGGGATCTCTAGCGGGACACATCTCCCATTCCTGACAAGCTTTCAAAGAGAGAGATTATAATGGACACAGCAATGATCCCAAGCAGCACAGGGAGTTCCAATGTGTAGTTTTACTTTCAGACCCCTGGGTTAAGTCGGCTTTCAGCCTGTCCCTGGAGAGTCCCCGTCATGTCCAAGGCAGGAAGTTGCAATGAAGGAGTAGTCCCAGGAGCCAGTAAGTCAGAAAGTAGCCTAGAATGTATCGTGTGACTGGAGAACAGATTTTCCAGTGATACAAAAGTCCCATGATAGGATTTCTAGGGACCTTTTGTCCTGGTGGGGAGTCCTCTGTAAGACACTTCGAAGGCACAGTTTTTAAGGACCTCAACAGCGGCTCTTGATCCTGAAGCAAGTGAGCTGGAAACCAGTACACAATAGGAGTGGAGGAGCCCAAAAACCTGGTGAGAACCTAGAATCGTAAGAGGGGAACATCCAGAAATTTACTGAAATGTCACTGACTCAAATTGGACCAGCCTGGGGACTTCTCTACTGCTGGGTGAACCATGGTCCCATGACTAGAAATGTATTACTCTGGAAAATAAATTGAACAGAACTTAGGATCTGTCTTAGAAAGATGCATGGAACAGCAGACAGACATCTTCCATGTTACAAATAAACACAGTTACAGACTAATTACTATTATGATAATGGGCCAATCAGTACTAGAAACTATGGAGTCTAATTTTGGCCCAGGGCACAGACTCCAAACTCTGTGCTATTGATTTGGGGCTTGGGAACCTGAGGTGGTTCCCTTATCCCACGGGATGACAAAGCAGAGGGAAACGGGCAGGAGACCCATTGCTTCAACATTCTATTATAGGAGTTCAGAAACAAGTTTACAAATGGCCTCCCTCAGCTAACCTGGAAACCTTAAGCTTTGCTGGCATTCATTCTATGATTTAATCCAGCTAAAAACATAGAAAGCGACTTCCTATTTCCTCTGTGTCTCTTATCCATACAGCTTGGAGAACTTCAGAAACAGCCGATGTGCGACTCCAAGAGGAAGAAACTGCTAAGGAGAGGTCAGCATGGGGAAAAAAGACATCCCAGGGTGGGGCCACAGCAAGAACAGAAAATCAGATACAAGATCAAACCTTTCCCAACCCTCTCTATCACCACCACCACCACCACCCAAGACCTTAGATATGATATCTCCTCTGGAAATTTAGCACCTGCCTGAGTTGAGTACCTTCAGAAGCCAATAGTCAAGAAGCCAATATGGATATAACTGTACATTACGGAAAAATCCCAGAGATATCTTCTGTGCTTATTCCCGTATCTCAGTCCAATCCTTTCACAACCCCCATGTTTTCGCATATGCCCTTTCTTTTACCTAGAGTGTTCCTCCTCTGCTTCTTCTATGGAAAATCTCATTCTTTAGGACCCAGCTGAAATATGATGCCTTTCTCAACTACTCCAGTGAATTATATAGGTCTTTGCCTCCATAATACTTTATCTGAGCTTTTTTTAAAAAAATCTCAGGCTGAGCATGGTGGCTTACATCTGAATTCCCAGCACTTTGGGAGGCTGAAGCGGGCAGACCACTTGAGTTCAGGAGTTCGAGAACAGCCAGGCCAACATAGTGAAACCCCGTCTCTACTAAAAATACACAAATTAGCTACGCAGTGGTGGCAGGTGCCTGTAATCACAGCTACTTGGGAGGCTGAAGCAGGAGAATCGCTTGAACTCAGGAGGCAAAGGTTGCAGTGAGCCAAGATAGCGCCACTGCACTCCAGCCTGGGCAACAGAGGGAGGCTCTGTCTCAAAAAAATAGAAATAAATAAAGTAAAATAAATCTCAGAACAGCACTCCCCTTTCTATACCACTGTACTATAATTTTATCCGTTAAATGTCTGTCCTCCTATTTATACCACTAAACTCCTAGGGGCAGTAATTTTGTTTTATTCATGTTTCTCCTTAGAGGTCTGACCTGGAGTCTGGCACAAAGAACATTCCTAAATAGTCGTTGAATGGGCCGGGCACAGTGGTTCACATCTGTAATCACAGCACTTTGGGAGGCTGAGGTGGGTGGATCATGAGGTCAGGAGACCAGCCTGGCCAAGATGGTGAAACCCTATCTCTGCTAAAAATATAAAATATTAGCCAGGCTTGGTGGTGGCTGCCTGTAATCCCAGCTACTCAGGAGGCTGAGGTAGAAGAATCACTTGCACCCATGAGGCAGAGGTTGCAGTGAGCCAAGATTACGCCACTGTAGTCTAGCCTGGATGACAGAGCAAGACACGATCTCAAAAAAAAAAAAAGTAGCCGAGTGAATAAATTCAGTACGGATCACTCAAATGGGAGATGTTAGCTATCTTCCCTGTCCTTGGCCAAGGGGTTTTACCTGTATTCACATCCTTATCCCAGTCAGGACTCCATCTCACCTGAACATGCATGCACAGACCTCCAAACAGCAGCAGCACTGCAGCATGGACCACGTACACAAACACCTGAGGACTGAGGAATCCAAGATCGGGCTTCTTTAGGGTCTTATTGTTCTTGCTCCTTTGCAGCCCAAGTGTAAGGCAGAGCCAAGGGTGGGTGGTCACGTATGTCCAAGTTGCCCAGGCAACCAGTATAGCCACTGGTGTAGCCAGTAGAAAATTGGGCACCTGCCTGAGCTCATAGTATTTCAAAAAGCCAACATTCCAGTAGACATCCTGGATATAGCTGTACATTAGTGGAACATCCCAGAAGCACCAAGGCGGTTCATTTCCCTCTGCAATCCGGTAGTCCTTGTCTACAGCTAACTGTACCAAGGGCTCCGGAATGGGGCGGGCTGAGCCTGGCAGACAGAATTGAGTGTAGGCATAATACTGAAAGAGGGCAAAGGGAAGGCCAAGTGTGAACACCGACAGAAACAGAGAGGCCATCAGCTTAAGGAGCTGTCTCATGGGATTCAGCATCGTAAGAGAAGAGAAAAAGCCTTGGCACTGAGAATGCATGAGGAAGCCAATACTGACCAGCCCGTTGGAGCGTACTCCAGTAGCAAGGGCAAAGAGGAGTCCGCTAGTCCAGACTCGGCCCCTCTCCAGCTGCCCCATGGCGCTGAATGTCAGGAGGGCAAACAAAGCTTCTGAGTAACCAGCTGCCAGGAAGACATTGGCAGGGCTGAGACAGAAGAGCAGAGCTGCATAAAAGGCCTGGCGGGGACAGTGCAAAACAAAACAACCCAGGTCATGAAGAGCAACTGCAGCCAACACGAAGAACAAGAAATTGAGTGATGCTGCTGAAATCAGCAGGCAACTGCGTAGACTCAGTAACCCCCGTAAGGGTCTCAGCAGTTCAGTCCCCACCAGCAGAGCCAAGGGGAAACCAGGAAAGAAGGCAAAGTTGTGCTCATACAGGTAGCCATACTCGGCAATGAACAGGAAGTGTTCAGCATCCCAGCGAGACAGGCCACCCAGAAGACCTTCCACAAGTTGATCCACAAAGCCTGAGGGGGCCAGGCGAGGAGGAGAGAAGGCTTCTGCATGGTGATCTGGGATGATGGCATTGAAGAGGGCCTGTGGAGTAAAGAAAAACCAGGATTTGGGTTGAGTAACTGGAAGAAAAGAATTGTCATTTAATAAAATGAGGAAGAAGACTAGGCTCATGCCTGTAATCCCCACTTTGGCAGGCTGAGATGGGAGGATTACTTGAGCCCAGGAGTTCACGACCAGCCTAGGCAACATAGCAAGACCTGGTTTCTACAAAAACTAAAAAAAAAAAAAAAGGCTAGGCACAGTGGCTAACACCTGTAATCCCAGGACTTTGGGAGGCTCAGGTGGGAGGATCACTTGATTCTAAGAGTTTGAGATCAGTTTGGGCAATGTAGCGAGACCTTGTCTCTACTATAAATTAAGAAATAAAAATTAGCTGGGTGTGGGGCACATGCCTGTAGTGCCAGCTACTTGGGGGCTGAGGTAAGAGGATTGGTTGAGCCCAGGAGGTTGAGGCAGCAGTGAGCTGTGATTGTGCCACTGTACTCCAGCCTGGGTGACAGAATGAGACCCTATTTAAACAAAATAAGAGATCTGAGGACTGAACCCTGGACATGTTAATATATGAAGGCTAGGAAGAGGATGAAAATCCAGCAATGAAGAAAAAAGGAACAGTCGGTGAGGTGGCAGGGAACCCAAGAGAGCATTAGAACCAAGGGAAGAAAAGGAGTGCTTGACACTGTAAATGCTGCTGGTAGGTCAAGTAACATGAGGACTGAAAACTGACCGCTGGATTTAGCAAGGTGAAGGTCACTGGTGACTTTGACCAGGGCTATTTCAATGGAGCAGAAGAGAGAGCAGAAGAGAGAGAAGCCTGCCTAAACTGGGAAGAGAAACTTTGAGGAGTAAGGGGAAGCAGACAAATGGGGAAGTAGGTGAACAAAAATGTGGGGTTAAGAGAAAACTTTTTTTTAAGGTGGGAGATAAGGGTTTGTATGTTAGTGGAAATAACCCAGGGAAAGGGTATGCAGGAGAGAGGGGAGAATTGCTGGGTAGGCAAAAGGGATGGAATCTGCCACAAAGGAAGAGGAGCCAGCCATAGAGAAGAGGACAGATAGTTGATCCAACCTTACTGAAAGCACAAAGGTGCTGACAGGTAGGCTGAAGAATGTGGTGGGTGCATATGGAAGGCCTCTTCTAATGCCCTCTATTTTTCTGAGTTGTCATTCAGGAAAACAAGTTGGTAAATGTTACATGTTTTTCTCTTTCCTCAAATCTCTAACACGTTTTCCCCAGCACTCACTGTCAAGGGATAGCCTCTTTCAGGACATGCACACATCATCTTCGTTAATAGTGAAACTAGCTGGGTGCTGTGGCTCACGCCTGTAATCCCAACACTTTGGGAGGCCAAGGTGGGTGGATCACCTGAGGTCAGGAGTTCAAGACAAGCCTGCCCAACATGGCGTCTCTACTAAAAATACAAAAAATTAGCCAGGCATGGTGGTAGGTGCCTGTAATCCCGGCTACTCGGGAGGTTGAGGTGGGAGAATCGCTTGAACCCAGGAGGTGGAGGTTGCAGTGAGCCGAGATCACACCACTGCACTCCAGCCTGGGTAACAAGAGCAAAACTCCGTCTCATAAATAAATAAATAATGAAACCACTGGGAAATCAACAGAAGTAGTACTGGGAAGAGTGACATTGAACCAGGAGCTAAAACCATCAAGGGTTAGCTGTCATTGACAGAGATGACAGCAACAACAAAGGGTAATTTAGGGATATAATCTGATGGCTTGAGCATTAAAACTGGAAGTGGGAGGATGATAATAAAATAGCATTTACTGTTAAATGTCATTTTGCTGTCCAGACATGGTGGCTCATGACTGTAATCCCAGCATTTTGGGGGCCGAGGCGGGTGGATCACGAGGTCAGGAGTTCGAGAACAGCCTGGACAACATGGTGAAACCCTGTCTTTACTAAAAATATAAAAACTAGCTGGGCATACTGGTAGGTGCTTGAAATCCCAGCTACTCGGGAGGCTGAGGCGGGAGAATCATTTGAACTCGGGAGGCAGAGGTTGCAGTGAGCTGAGGTCACATCATTGCACTCCAACCTGGGGAAGAGGCTGAGACTCTGTCTCCAAAAAAAAAAAAGAAAAAAGAAAAGTCTTTTTTGCCCTATTAGATTATTACTATATGTACTTTAAACATTTTTGGTGGTTGAATGAACTGCCTAGAGGAAATATACTATTTCTAAAATTACCACCTGATTTAGAACCCAGCTGTCCTGGTTCCCTATCCTGGATGCTGACCTGCAGCACTGCTCCTTTGGTTCTGCCAGGAAGCCAACTGATGCTGGTTGAGAAACATCACTGAGTAAGTCTCCCTAGCCTGGCAATGAGAGCATAGCCCCATTTTTAAGGCTTTTTCACTTTTTGGTCAGTTTCCTTATCAGGCCACTTCAAACAGTAAAAACAAACAGGACAGGAGTGACAGTCATAGATAAACAGCCCTAGCCTGCAGGTGGACACGTTTAACTAATCTCAAAACCCAGCAGAGGCTGCTACACCTTATATAGTGGGGGAGGAGGGAGGAAGGGTTTCCACAGAGGAACCAGCTATAAGCCTCAGAGAGAATGGTACTGGGATAAAAGGCACACATAACTATGTGAATCTAACACCCCTAAGTGTTGACATATATTCAACAACATTCATTCATTTATGAATAAACTGAGCTAAGCATCAGGTACTGTGCTAGGCAGCAAATAATTCATATATACATGACATTTTATTAAAATATGTATCAAGCCTCGGAGGGGAAAGGGAACTACAAAAGGGCAAGTGCACTGAGAGTTGTGTGTGGGTGAGGCAGGAAAGGGAGGCACTTGGGGGAATAGGAGGAATCATTATATATCCAGATGGTCTCAGGACCTGTACGCTGCCATGTCTCTCGCACTCAACTGACCGACACTATGCTCAGTCTCCTGGCAAGGGGACACAGAGCAATACTTTGAGCTGTCACACCATGCAAGCATCTCTGGTTACAGAACATCCCAGTTTGTTGGAGAGACCACTAGCTCAGGAGTTAGGAAACACGGGTCAAACTCCAGCCCTTCTCTATCTTCCTATGTGGCTTTAGGGATGTCACTTAACCTCTCTGGGCCTCTGCTGCTTCATGTGTAAAACGGAAGATTAACAGACCGTGTTTCTAAGATTCTTGACCAATTTTCAGCTCTAAAGTCTATGTCCCGGGCCGGGCGTGGTGGCTCACGCCTATAATCCCAGCACTTTGGGAGGCCGAGGCGGGTGGATCACGAGGTCAAGAGATCGAGACCATCCTGGTCAACATGGTGAAACCCCGTCTCTACTAAAAATACAAAAAATTAGCTGGGCATGGTGGCGCGTGCCTGTAATCCCAGCTACTCAGGAGGCTGAGGCAGGAGAATTGCCTGAACCCAGGAGGCGGAGGTTGCGGTGAGCTGAGATCACGCCATTGCACTCCAGCCTGGGTAACAAGAGTGAAACTCCGTCTTAAAAAAAAAAAAAAAAAGTCTATGTCCCTATGGTTCCAACCACATGGAGGGACACACCTGGGAGGTGGAAAGGAGATGGGGACTCTTCTTACCGCCTAGTCCAGTCATATAGCAAAGGCACATTCAGGACAAAGGATGGGAGACTGACCTGGAGTATCAGAGTCAGGATACGGCAGCTGACTGCAAACCTCAGCACCTCCTTCCAGGATGGATCCTGAGGCCACATCCTCTCACCACCAGGAATTCAGGGGTGTTGCTACCAGGATTGAGCTCCCTCAGGCTTCTAAACCCCAAAGGAGGAAAATGTCACATATCAGGTGAAAGCAAATTCTTGAAAGCATTCTTCATTGGGACCTCCCCTCCCAGAATTACTATGACAAACTTAACCAGTCACCTAACTTCCCAGATGAGGGGAAAGCATCTTGACAGTAAATGGGTTTCGCAGGTGTCACTTTGAAGCACCGAATTCTCATTGGGAAAGTTCCATACAGATAAGCAGGTAGCTGGAAAGCTAAGGTCACAGAAAATCCTTTAAAGCCTATTGAATGCACCTCTGCAGGAACAAAAGATCTGGGTTCAAGTCCTGACTCCGTCGCTTACAAGTTCTTATTAGTAAACTTTTTTTTTTTGTCTATCTCACAAAATTGTCATGATGGTGAAAAAGACCAAAGTGTGAAGTTCTATTCAAATCTATGTTGTGGTTGCTATTATTTGGTGTGTGCCCTTTTCCTCTTGCCCAGAATAATAAACTAGGTCCCAAACCAGAGTCCCCAAAGTGGGGCATAAAACCATACTGGAAGACCATAATGACTACACACTCTAGCTTAGCTCTCTGATGTGTGTTCAGCTGGTCTGTTAAGTGGGAAAGGAAAAGAAAACCACCACTCAGCAGGACCTCAGCCAGCTCACACTGCTGAAACACAGTAGACTACCAGGGATGGAGAAAACTGTTATTTCCCATCTCTTTGTTGGGATGGTAGCAATGTATAAACAACTGCAAAGCCACTCAGAGGTAAGGAATGCACTTTAAAGCATCTTTTACAATTCCTTAGGCTAAAAGAAGTCATAATGAATGGCTCCTTAAGAACTTTCAAACAGCAGCCTGAGAAATTCAAAAGGGAAGCAAAAGCATCAGAGGCAGCTCATCAATTTGGAGTGAAGAACTATGCCTAAAAGAAAAAAAAAAATATTTGAACTGAAAAATTTAAGGAGGGCTGGAAGACTCTTTTTCTTCTCTTACCTGGCAAATACCAACCAAACTTGTAGTTATCACTTGTTTCTGGAATTCTCTGATCCTCACTAGCCAGTGTGCTATGCTCTCACTACATTCTGCCCTATTTCCTTTATTGCTATTGCTTAAGTTGCTAAGGGCAGGGGCTTTATATCACAACTATATCCCAGGGCCTAGAACATAAACAGGCATCTTAAACTTGTGTTCTGAATGAATCGAAGTGGTAGGGACCGGATACAGCATCAGCAGTTCACTGACTCTAGATATGAAATCACTGACCCACGTATTCTTCCCATCATATCTCATGTCAAGAGCAAGACGACAAAGTCACAGAAGCCACAGGAAAATAAAATTTCCCCAGAAAGGGAGCCAAGTTGGCCAATGGCAACAGTACTCTTTCCTCGGCACAAGGGGGCGCCTGCTGCTTACGCCATCGCCAGGAGGCCTGGAGGAAGGGAGGGGCCCCCAATTCCACACGGGTTGGCTCACGAAAATTCAGTTCAAAGACAAGTTTCTGAAAGCCTCAGAGAGCAGCGGTCGTTAGTGAATCTACCCAACGTTTCCAACATATGACTCGCTGAATCGAGAGGAATCACGTATATAGGCACACCCAACCTCAAAAGGCTACTCCTTCCATATCCTACGGGTGAATTCACTTTTTTTTTTCCCTTTCTTGGCTTCACACTGGCACGCAGAAGATAAGTTGGGAACAGAAAAGCACTTAACCCATCTATGCCAATTGACCATTCTTCCTTTCCTCTCTCGGAGTCAGACTCTAGCCTCAGAGACTACAGATGTGTAGCCCACACTTTGCTTACAGGTAAACCAAGTAAAAACAAAGCCAGTCAATTCTCCCTCTCAGCTAATTGCTAACCTCACTTCCCAACAACCCCTTTGCCAAATCACAGACTCTTAACTGGCAGGACACTTACAGATCAACTAGTTTCACTCTTTAAACATTTTCCCGTGAGACAAATAGGCCCCAGAGATCTCATCAGACACTATGAGGCCAGTATAATTACCATCGCCATTTTATGGATATGGAAACTGAGGCTCACTGGGGTCAAGTGACGCACGCAGGGATACTTAAAGAGGCTGTCATGTTTTTTGCTTCTTAAACCTGACGGTATCAGCCCGCATCACTCGCCAATGGGTATGCACCCTTTCAGAGCCAGGATTATGACCCAGGTCACCCAAACGCCTAGCCCAGTACTTCCCTACCAGAGCCTGACCTTGCTGGGTATGTTTAGGGTAGCTGGGCCCTATCTGAGAATTTGGGACATCCTGCTGAACTGCAACTCTGGACTCTCTAAGACCAACACCCACTGCGTGGGCTAGAGACGTCGCTCTAACCCAGGGTCCTTAGAGCCAAAGGCCTCGTGGGTCGCCTTCTGTCAGCCCAGCCGTGTCCGCAGCCCGTTTCTGGCCGGCTCCTTTTGGACACAGTCCCTTCTGGGGACTAATCATTGACTCTCACCCAAGACGGGCCCAGATACCACTCCCGAGGGAGCCTGCGGAGCCCCACCAGACTACAGGGCCGGAAGCAGGCGAGGGCGGGAGGCTGGAAAGGAAGAGGCGGTGCCCGAGGCCGCGGTGGCGGAGGGGCGGGACTCCCCGCTTCTCTGGGCCTCTGTCTCATTTCTGGCCGCCTCCATTTGACAGCTTCCCTCCCGCCAGAACTCCAGGGCTCCCAAGCTAGCGCCAGGTCCTCAGCACCTGCCCGTCCCGACCTTTCCAGCGGGGACCGAACCTCAGTTCCTCCATCCGGGACCCACGCGGCCCGCGCCTGCGCGCTGGCTCCGCCGACGGCGTCTCCGCCCCGCTCCTGCCCGGACTTGGAGCAGCCCCGCCTCCCTCCGCGCCGGCCATGTTGACTCCGGGCGAGCGGGGCGGGGGACACCGCTCGGTGCCTCGCCGCATAGCACTTTCCCATCTTGGTGACACCTGAAGAGTTCTGTCGCACTTCGCTCTCCTTCAATGCCCCTCGCCACCCTGCCTTCAAATAGTGAGCCAAGGCTGCTGTCTGAGTCAGGGTCTTGCCCCAGTTCCTTCCCGCTAACATTCACTGAGTTCTCGGTGTGGCTGAGGCTCTAGTAGTTGGGGGCTGACCCGCGCAGCCTCTTCACAGAAGTCGGAGCCGCGCTCTTCCTGCTGTCAGGCAACAACAGCTCAGCGCAGGGCCTGGCACACAATAGATGTCCTCTGAATAGCCAAAGAAAAGCATTCTTGGGGTTTCTGTGGCCGGCAGCGGCACCCTGCGTCCTGGGTGTGAAGAAAGTGGGGGATCCCCCTGATTTTCCCCTCCTCTAGCTACCAGAGACCTTCTGTCCTACTTCAGTCCTCTGCCCCCTCCTCAGGTGGCTAATGAGGATGGTGAGGAAAACCTCAGAGAACACCCTCCGGGACTCCTTTCACCTCCCTCACTCAAGCAGTTTCTCTCATACGAAGTGAGGCCAAAAAAGAAGAAAAAAAAAAAAGGCGAACTCAACAAAACCATCTATGCTGGGAGCGGCCAGTTGGTACCCTTGTAACGGAATCTGTTAGAACAACTTTGCACCCTCCTTAAAGGAAACAGATGATAAATCCTTCTCCGTTGGTGGATTTCTTGTTTCTCAGGATTCCAAAGCCTTCTTGTGGTTTCCGTTATCTGCCCTCTAAACGAAGCCAGGGTCTGGGTTAGCCTCTGGCCACAGCCTGGCTCTGGGAGGGGTTTATCTTCTGCAACAGCTACTCTTGTGGGTGGGAACAAAGAGATGATTGCTACCTCTCCAGGGGAAGACCAGCCCACATCAGTCTGTGGGGGCCTGGAGCTCTATCTCTTGACTCTTTATAACTCATTTCAGTCCCTGAGACCTAAATCGCCTTCAGATATTTGTTGTGTGCAAGGTGGAGAAAGTACAAATCACATTTAGTTGTTGTGTATTGAAGAAGGGGAAAAAAATGGGAGTTTCATGGCCCTCCCCCCACGTTTTTCAGTGCCACTCACTTGTTCTCAGCTCCAGAGGCCAGTGAGTGACATGGCAAAGCCTGGGGGCACACTTGTGACTAGGGCCCAAGTCTGTGACTTGAATCTCTGGAAGTCCACCATAAGGCTCCAAGCCGCACTCTCTTTGCAAAGACAAAACTGAGAAATGAACTGTCCTTGCTCTGTAAATTCACGAGGGGAAAAAGACATGCATTCTCCGGGTTCCCTCTGTCCACACCAAATTCTCTCAAAAATCTATTTGTAAAAATGCCAGGGGTCTCTCGAGACAAGTCAGAATGTTTTTTAAAAGCTAAGCTGTCACCCTGTAGAGGTAGAACTTTATCCAGATTTTCAGCTGTACTTTCCTGCAATTCCTTCTTTCCTTCTCTGCTACCCAACCCCCTCCTCTTCCGCTCTGTTTCCTGTTTCATTTTCTGGCTTCTGCTCTGACAGGAAAACAAGGAAGCTGAATCTTGTGCTCTCAAATCCCTGACTCTCTGGTTTCAGATTGGAAGAAGGCTAGATGGGATAGGAGGGGATTCTGGGGCTCAAAGGCTGCGAGTAGTGAAGGAGGCAGCCTCTTAGTGTGCTTGTAGAGTCTGCAGCTAAGATGGAGCCTGCATCTACCCAGGGAGCCAGCTGAGCTACCAGAACTGTGGAAAGCAAGTGAGACAGAGCTATATCCCAGGGCTCCAGAAAGACTCCACACTTCCCAGCCACTTCCATTAAGAAACACATATGCCACATCACTAAGAAACAGTATCACATACAAATCCATAACCTGAACAATGCAAGCAATGAATTACTATTCTAGAAGCTTACAATTGAAGAGGGTTACATCATATCTGTTCTTTGAACTTGCCTAGCTCTGCTCTTGCTAATTTCCCTGCTTGAAGCACTCTACCACCAGACCACCCTTTGGCTAGCCCATTATGTTTGGGTCTCAGGAGTGATGTCACCTCCTCAGAGAGGCTTTCCCTGTACTATCTCATCAGTCTGTTTAAAAAAAAAAAAAAATGAGGTCTTGGCCAGGCACCATGGCTCATGCCTGTAATCCCAGCACTTTGGGAGGCCAAGACGGGTGGATCATCTGAGGTCAGGAGTTCAAGACCAGCCTGGCCAACATGGCAAAACCCCATCTCTACTAAAAAATACAAACATTAGCTGGGCGTGGTGGCAGGTGCCTGAAATCCCAGCTACTCGGGAGGCTGAGGCAGGGAGAATTGCTTGAACCCGGAAAGTGGAGGTTGCAATGAGCTGAGATCACACCATTGCACTCCAGCCTGGGTGACAGAGTGAGACTCTGTTTAAAAAAAAACAAACACAAAACAAAAGATGGGGTCTCATCATATTGCCCAGGCTAGTCTGGAACTCCTGGGCTCAAATGATCCACCCACCCTGGCCTCCCAGAGTGCTGGGATTACAGATGTGAGCCACCACGCCTGTTCTCTATTTTCTTCATAGCACTTAATACCATATGCTTGTCCTGTCTATGAATTTTGCTTGTTTCAATGTCTGTTTCCCTATTCTGGAATGTAAGCTTCTGAGTGTAATGGAGGAGCAGGGGCTTTGTTCACCAATGTATTTCCAGTGTTAGAACAGTGCCTTGCACACTGTGTGTCTTCAATAAAGATCTGGTCAATAAATCAATCTCTTTAATCCTATACCTATATTTTATGGATGAGGGAGCTAAGGATCACAAAGAGGAAGTGATTGGCAAGAAGTCACATAGCTAGTGGTAGTGAAGGGACTTGAATTCAGGTCTCAGCCTCCCTGGCTGGTTCTCCCACTCCACACTATTTTAATCTTTCACAGATTTACCTCTTTCCCTCTCCCTTTTTTCCCTTATGTCTAAAAGTCTTTACAGGCTATGGTAAGATGGGCACACCAAGTCTTAATAGCTCTGACCTACTCTTTCCACCATCAAATTCCTATCTTATCTGTTTGATTTGTTCAACAGTACAAGAGTGCCTACTATGTGATGGGATGAGGATGCAACACTAAGCAAGACGGAAACAATCCTTGTGGAGATGATACCTACCTCACACAGGATTAATAGTGCTTGGCATACAATGCTCAATAAAGATGGGCCTATAACTCACTGAAAAAAATAGTGAGTGATTTTCCCACTGAAGGTGTAGAGAAGGAAGTTAGGTAGTTCTCACAGAACACTCACTTCGCTGGAGCAATTGACAATCCATTTCTCTCTGTAGCTGCCTTGCCTTGTTCTTGCCTCTGCTTCTGGAGGTGGCCTTGGCCCCAGGGTGGGCAGATCACTAGCCCAGTGTACCTACTCTCAGCAGTTCAGTTTCTAGATGCTAAACTTTCCATGGCTCAGTCCTATGGTATTGGAATAGCTGATCCCAATCTGGGGTGTTGGCTCTGACACCATGCCATTGTGAAGCAAAAGTGACCATACTGGCCTCTGATGACAAGCAGCTGTGCCTTACCAGAACTTTATGCTACTTCTTTTTGCTGTGGATAAAAGGGCATTCACTGGCAGTTTCCAATGATGCTAGGTGACATTTACATACATCCTGACACCTGGGGTAACACTAGTCAGGTCTCAGACATTTACCAAAAGCAACCTTTTTGGCCTCTGCCTGATCACTTGAAGATGCCTATCCACCCAAGGACAAAGACTCTGCCCTACCTCCAACTTCAGGAGCCACATACTCATAATTTAAAGCCCATGGACACTAGGTATTTTTCACCCTTCCTTCAGTGTTTGCCTTTCCGTAGTTAGAAAACCTTGACCCCACTGACAGGCCTAGTGGGAAGGCCTTAGCCACTTGGGGGTGGCAGTGGCTGTAAGGCAAAAGAGCCAATGAGGTTGAGAGTATTGTTTAGGCTGGATTTGGCTGCTCTCCAGCTATGAAAGAAGGTTAAGGTCATTTGGGGGGTGGGGAGGGAGGAGCCTGGGAAAAGAACTACTGGCCACACCCCTGGGTTCTCTGCTGGTTAGGTTCTATTTACTTCTCAAAAGCAAATTACTCACAGCTCAGTGGCCAGCAGTTCTCTTGGCCATGGTAACTCCAGTCAGAAACTGGAGACCGGGCTAGGCTCTCCCTGCATTGCAGGAGAACAGATGAAAGGAACCCAGGAAACCAAACTCCTAGGTAATATTCCACACACAGCCCAGATATGCACTTTCTAGACTAGAAAACGGAGCTCAAGGCCCAGAACAAAAATACCCATTAGCAATATTGCTTACCAAAATTGTAGATATGAAAAGATTCCCATTTTTGTCTAGAGGAGTCCTAGGAAGCCATCTTGGTTGACAAAGGTTTTCCTCTCTCAGTTGAGAAATACTAATTATTCAATCCTGTTCCTGACCCGAATATTAATAGCCAGTTAGTCTGATGAACACTTGGTTGAAATTCTTAGGACAATTTTACCTCGTGCTAAAGACAGTAAAAACGAATCTTGCTTGCTGACTCCACACCTAGATCCATTACTCCTGCTTGTGTTTATCCAGAAAGGAGGTAGTGTGGTATATTAAGAAAAGCGCCAGGTACGGTGGCTCATGCCTGTCCAGCACTTTGGAAGGTCAAGGCAGGTAGATCACGAGGTCAGGAGTTTGAGACCAGCCTGGCCAGCATGGCATAAACCCCGTTTCTACTAGAAATACAAAAAATTAGCTGGGCATGGAAGTGCGCACCTGTAATCCCAGCTACATGGGAGGCCGAGTCAGGCAAATCACTTAAACCCAGGAGGCAGAGGTTGCAGTCAGCCAAGATCGCGCCACTGAACTCCAGCCTGGGCGATAGAGCATGACTTTCTCTCAAAAAATAAAATTAAATTAAAAAACCATGATCCTTGGTTAGGTGGAACTTGCTTGGTGTATGAACTTAAAAAAAGCCTTTCACTTTTCATAGCCTTTCTTCAACTGTAAAATGGGAGCCAGATACTGACTTCACAGGCATAGGATTGTTGTAGGATTGTGATATAAGATGTCCAGAATATAAGAAAACTGTTGTTTCTTGTTTCAAGTTTCACTTGTAAGTGTCCACAATAATAGCATTTTTTCTTACCACTTCTGATTTCTCCTGAGAAACTTGAACTTGGGGCTTATTGTTTCCCTAAGGAAGGGGATGAACAGAGAAATGATATATTGTGACATTAGCTTTATAAAAGCAACTGCATCTAGCCAACATCAACAGTGTCATTCAACTACTAAATAGATGCTATGTGCCAGGCTATGTTGGCACAGGGATGCAGCAAACAAAACATCCCTCCCAACACCCTCACAGAGTTTACATTTCAGTAGAAGGTGACAGTAAGTACAACATACACAATAGGCCAGATGGTAACAAGTGCCACAGGAAAAATAAGGCAGGCAAGGGTAATGCAGGTGGGGAGAAATGATTGCTATTCTAAGGAAGGTGACCAGGAAAAGCCTTACTCATATATTTGAACCAAGACCTGAAGGAGTTAAGCCTTGAGCCATGCAATTATTTGGTGAGAGAGTAGGAAGTACAAAAACTCCAAGGCGGAAGAAACATCCCTTACAGTGGGGTGAGCAATGGGCAAGACAGATGGTGCAGGAAAGGTAGAGGTAAGCTAGGTAACTCAGGGCCTTGTAGGCCACTGAGTCTGGATTTTTACTTACTCACAAAGAGAAGCACTGAAGGTGTTTTATCTGACTTACCTTTTATAGGGGTCCTTTTGGTTGCTCTGTTGAGAATAGGTTCACCCAGGCAAAGCAGAAGCAGGGAGGCCAATTTGGAGGTATTCCAAGAATTCAAGATATGACAGTGTCTTGAACTATAGTAGTAGTGTGGGATTCAGGGTTATTTTATGAAGAGTGCTAGCAGATTAAATGTGGAAGTGAAAAGAAGTCAGTAATTTATTTGGCCAAGTGACAGAAGAATGGAGTTGCCATTTACTAAAAGGAAAAAAAGAAAAAAAACTATGGGAGCAGGTTTCAAGTGGGGGAAGACAGGACATTTTAGCTTTGGCATATTCAAAGTAAACTTCCAAGAAGGAATGACAAGAAGGCAGCTGAATGCTCTAGTCTGGAGTCAGGGAAAAGAGCCAGTCCAGAAAGTTGGAGGTTGCCTTGTGTCTTATTTTGGAATATGGCAAATAAATGGCAGGGTCCAGGATGCCACTATTGAGTAGAGATCTCACACTAAGGGAGGTTTGCAAAAACAGGACTACCCCATACCCCCCAAAAAGGTCAAGCTTTAGTTTGAAAACAATAAAAATCTTCACAAAAGTCTTACCAAGATTTAATGTACATTTATTCTTAACACGTGGAACATATAGTATAAAGATTTCATACTGAATAAATGATATTCATTAAGCCAAAAAAGGAAAAAAAAGGAGGAATTTACATCAAGTTTTAGCTACATTGTTGAAATACAAATATGCAGATTTTATCACTGAAAAAATCTCAATTGTGTTTCTTCATCAGAACTTCAACTGAACCTAGAACTTTTTCACACCTCGATTAGAAAGAAAACAAAACAAAACAAAAACCCAGAAAAAAATAAACTATAAGTTGATTGGCTGCTGAGACAGCAAAGACTTTTTACAGAGACCTGTACAGCATCGCGCCAAGAGGGGCGATGTCTGGCAAGAGATTAAATAGCTGTGTCTCGCTTTGTGCAGGTCACCAACTTGTTAACTCGTCATACTATAAAGGGGTAGCTGGGAGGAGGACCAAACTGTGGGGATCCAAGGGTATGTGCAATGTACAACGTCATATATATACACTCGTGGCAGCGCAGCCGCTGCAGCTAAAGGTTAAAACCAGTTCTAAGAGGTGATCTCAGGGTTATTCATACAATCAAGGAGGAGAGAAAGAGGTCAGGGTGTTGTAGGTTCACACATGATACTTTGGGGGAAAAGCCTTTTTTTTTCTCCTCAACGTTTAACTAAAAACATTTTTAAAAACTACAGCTTGCTGCTGACCCAGCGTTTTCTGTTTCCATGTGAGACATTATTATTACAGTATGTTTACAGTATCAGGTGTACAGTACAGTACATGAAAGGGTCTACACTCTACTGCACAGGCCTCTCCAGTGAACAGGGTCTGTTCACAACTGCGAACTTCTTGGCTCCTGCAAGATTGTGAATGTACAACATTAAACCACAAACAGTTCAGCAGTCACCTTTTTTGTCCTTCAGTTTTTTTTTGTATTTTTTTCTTTTTTTTTTTAACCATTAAAAACAGTTATGAAATGTGGCGTCCCGTTGATGCAAGGACTGGGAAAGCCATTTTTATTTTTTTTCCCCAAACTCACTGTAAACAACAGTAACTTTGGTTAAAATAAAAAAAGTCTTCTATGTAGGCAGAGCTTTGTCTTTTCAAAGAGGGTGGGGGGTGGGGTCCTGAGGGGAGTAAGGTGAGGACAAGAACAGAAAGGCGTGAGGTGGTGGAGAGGGGGGAGGTGGAAGGAGGAAAGAGAAACAGGAGAGACTTTTTCCCAAGGGAGAAGCTGGACAGCACAGGGTAAACTGGATTCTGAGGTGGTTTTGCATAAATAAAGGGCAACAGTCAGTTTCTAAGTTCTCCACACACGCACACACACACGGGGAGGGGGGGGAGGTGTCCCACGGCTGTCATGACTGGCCAATCAAAAACAGTACATCACAAATGACTTGTGAAACCAGTGAGTTCATCAATGGTGATACTGAGATGTCCAACAGCCGTGATTCGTACAGAGTAAACTCTGAGTGGTTCTCATCCACCTTGGCCAGGGCAAGCAGTGCGCGGGCAGCCCGCCGCATCATGTCCACACTAGTTGGCTCAAAGGGTGGGTTCTGCATGTGGAGGAGGCTGGCCTGGCTCTGCTGGAACTGTGTGGCGGCAAGGCTGTCCTCTAGGAAGCCCAGGAGGTTGCCGATACTGCCCTTCTGCACTGCAATGGCGCGGGCTGCCAGGCTGTCCCCCTGAGCCAGGTTGGCCAGCAGTACCACAGCCATCTCCCGGCACACCGGGTTCTTTCGGTCACTGAGGAAGCGCACCATAGTGCTATACAACTTCTCCAGGCGGCTGAAGGGAGGTGTGGCCAGTATCAGGTCCACATTGTTGTCCTGGATGCTGAGCTTGCTGAGGGTTTCCAAGACCAGTCTCTGCGGGGAAAGGACGGCATTGGGGCCCAGGGTAGAGAAGGGGTCCTGGGCTTCAGCTGAAGGGCAAACTGCCCAGTGTAGGAGTCCGTCCAGGACAGGCAGGCAAATGCTCTCAGGGTATGGGGATAGGTCCAACTGCCCCGAGATGTTGGCGAGTGTAACCAAGGTGTTTTCCCGGAGCATCTCCAAGCAGTCCCACCACCACTCCACTTTGTTGCAGCTCACCCCTTGGTCCTGTTCCTCCTCCTTCTCATAAGTTAGTGGTGCCTGCTTCCGTTCTGGGTGCTTGTGGTGCAGCAAGATCAGCTTGCCCAGGATAAGCAGCAGCCCTGGGTGTTTGGACATCTCAAAGTCATTGCCTGGCACAAATGACAGGCTTCGAATGGTATTGGAGACACAGACGCAGCGCTTGGCAAGAGAATCCTGCCAGTCCAGAAGGGTACACAGTGGGGTCTCATCCTTACTGTGGGGTTCGTCCTCTAGGATCTTGATGTTCCGGTGGCTCTGGGCTGGGCTAATGCCAAATGGAAACTTGCTGCTCTCCTTGATGGCCTCTGAACTCTTAGCTCCATCCTCAGTCAAGGTGCTAGACCGGGTAGACAACATGTCATCCATAGTCGCTGTGATCCGTTTTTCTGGAGGTCCATCAGGTGGGGGCCCCTCCTGGTCTGTTGTCCCTGGCGTACCCTCTCCTGTTGTCACATGCTTCCGGGGAGCTGGTGGGCAGGGTGCATGAGGCCGGGAAGGCATCAGCTCTGTCTTGCTCTCAAAGTGGGTCTGGATATGCTCAGTGGTGTCCCCACCACCAATCCGCCAGTGCAGCAGGCCACTGTCAAACTCCTGCACACGCCCAAGCTTATCTGAGCAGTCCACCACAAATGGGTCATTCTTCTGTATGATCTTTACTGGAAGCTTGTCAAACTTACTGACCAGCTTCTCCTCACTATTCTCTGAAGCTGGCTTGTCCTTGCCTGAAAAGGCTATCTCCTCATCATTTTCAACTACTTCTTCTTCTTCTTCCTCTTCTAGTTTAGGACCTAGAAGTTCTTCTTCTTCTTCCCCACCCTCCATGGGAGCTGGACTAGACACCTTGCTGAAATTCCCAGGATCCAGTAGCGTCCTCTGTCCTGGGTCACCCACCTCATACTCCTTTAAAATGCCAAAGATCTCAATCAGGCATCGTCGGAAATATTCTACAAGGAGCTCTAGCAACCCTGGGAGCTAAAAAGAGAAAAAACAAGAAATAAATTAAGGGAGCAAAGTGGCCTAAGAACAGAATCTTTGACTTGAGAGACCTCTCCAAGTCTTCTGTATCACTTGGGAGAGGCAGAGTTGCTCTTTTCCCAAAGGTTCTCCACAGGGCAAATTGTTCATCTTAACCTCTTCTATGCCCAACACAAAGTTCTTCCTTCTGCCCAAGCTACCTTCACGTAAGCCTGTCTCCAGAAACACTAGCCAACAGCTTTGCACCTCACCCACCAGTGCCAATCATCTCTTAGCCTCCTCTTTCCCCAAACAATCTTCTGCTTTTCTACACCAGGCCAGTTTCCAACCTGGTGGTCATTGCCATTATCTCTTTCAGGACACTCTCTCCAACTCGCTGTTAAGGGGAGCCCAAGCTTAGGCATGGTGGGATGACCCAATTCAAGCTAAGAGAAGAGAATGCAACGTGGGCAGATGTTCATGGCTCTCTTCTCTTTGGGGGCTAGAACTCCATGGATCTTGCAGCATAAGGAGTGGGATGAGGCTTCAGCTCTCCAAGCACTGGTCCAAGCTGGTGCTACAGAGACCCAAATTCTACCTTGGACAATATATAGGCCATTTATTTACCTCTAGAAGAAAACACTCCTCCTCCAGTCACAATCTTTGGCTGAACAGTAAGCAGATGGAAAAAAATAAGGCTTTCAAATTAGATCTAGGGGCTGGAAGCAGTGGCTCACACCTGTAATCCCAACATTTTTTTTTGAGACGAAGTCTCGCTCCGTCATCCAGGTTGGAGTACAGTGGTGTGATCTTGCTGGCTGCAGGCTCTGCCTCCTGGGTTCAAGTGATTCTCCTGCCTCAGCCTCCAGAGTAGCTGGGATTACAGGCGCCTGCCACCACATTGGGTTAATTTTTGTGCACGCACGCACGTGTGTGTGTGTGTGTGTGTAATATATAAAATTTGAGACACAGCCCAGCTCTGTTGCCTACGACAACAGATCTGTGGCATGATCTCAGCTCACTCCTGGGTTCAAGCAATTCTGCCTCTGCCTCCCAAGTTGCTGGGATTACAGGTGCATGCCACCAGGCCCAGATAATTTTTCTATTTTTAGTAGAGATGCAGTTTCACCATATTGGCCAGGCTGGTCTTGAACTCCTGACCTCAAATGATCCACCCACCTCGGCCTCCCAAAGTTCTAGAATTACTGTAACTTTGTAATCCTAGTGGGTGAACCACCATCCCGGGCCTAGTTTTTGTATTTTTATAGAGATGGGGTTTTGCCATGTTGGCCAAGCTGGTTTAGAACTCCTGACTTCAACTGATCCTCCTGCACTGGCCTCCAAATGCTGGGATTACAGCTGTGAGCCACTGTGCCCAACCAGTAATCCCAACACTTTGGAAGGTTGAAGTGAGATTATCACTTGAGCCCAGGAGTTTGAGACGAGCCTGGGTAACATGGTGAAGCTCCAACTCTTTTTTTTTTTTTTTAAAAAAAAAAAGAAAGAAAGAAAGAAAAGAAAAATTTAGCCAAGCATGGCTGGGACCTGTAGTCCCAGATACTTGGGAAGCTGAGGTGGGAGGCTCTCAGATCACCCGAGCCTAGGAGGTTGAGACTGCAGTGAGCTGTTGATTGCGCCACTGCACTCTAGCTTGAGTAATGGAGTGAGACCCTGTCTCTAAATAAATAAACTGCAGGATATGGTGGTATTTGCCTGTAGTCCGAGCTACTCAGGAGGCTGTGGCAAAAGGATTGCTTGAGCCAAGAGTTTGAGGCTGCAGTGAGCCATGAGGGCACTACTACACTCCAGCCTAGGTGCCAGAGGGAGACCCTGTCTCTTAAAACAACAACAACAACAAAGTTTGATCTAGGTTTAAATTCTGGCTTTTCCAGGAACTAGCTGTATAAAATGATAAAAATTCCTCAACTTTGCAGGGTTGCTCTGAGGTGTAACTGGGAGATATCAAATACCTGGCATATGGAAAGCAATATTATACAATGGAAATAAAATCAGGCTTAGGAATCAGATAGATTCTACTGATAGCTATGTTAACCTCAACAAGGGTAAGACTCTGAGCCTATTTACTCATCTCTAAATGGCCACATCTCCTGTCTCCTAGGGCTGTTGCTAGGATGACATGAAATAAAATATTAAGGACATGGCACAAAATTAAGAGCACAATAATTGGTAACTATTAATAAGTCAGCTCCTTGATATACAGGTTGGTAGGTACTAAAGACGATCAAAAGAAAGAGTAGGATGACACAGCATAAACTCTTCCCAGCACCTATGCTGGTGTGCACATCCTATGGAGAGTGGGTTTGAAGAATCAGCTTCAAAAGACATTGCTAAACAACCAAACCCCCCAACTATTCTACATCTAAATAAACAGGGATCAACAAAGATCCCTTCTGTTCAGAGAAGAAAGGGAAAATGGAAAAAACATGCTCTGCTCACTGATAAAAAGACCACAGATTCAGGCCGGGCCTGGTGGCTCATGCCTATAATCCTAGCCCTTTGGGAGGATCACTTCAACTCAGGAGTTCATGAGCCTGGGCAACATAGTGAGACCTCATCTCGATTAAAAAAAAAAAAACAAAAAAAACCCCACCAGATTCTTCTAGAAAATATGGTGTCCCCACTGGCATCAATAGAATCTGCTTTCTTACTAATACTACAAAGTGTCTCCCAAATTCCCTTTGAAGTCAATCCTTTGTTAAAGCATCAACGTAATGATACCTAAAACAAATTATCATTATTCTCAAGATCCTGGGCCTGTGCCCAGAAGCAAAGGAAGCAAAGTACTGGCACGGAAGATACCTACGAGAGAGAAATATCAAGGTGGCTAAGGATGACACATTCCCATTGTTTACACTAAGATCCCAAATGCTCTCAATCTTCCCGAAGCACTGGTACTCACCTGACTGAGGTTGAAGGTCATGATGCTGTTGTCATCATATAGCAAGATGTTAATGGTATCTAATGCCCATGTGCTCTCAGCCAGGAGACCAGACTTGAGGGACATCATTACCCGCCATGCCTCCGGGGTTCCTGAAATAAACCTCCATGTCGTCCATCCACCAAGCCCAGGCTGGCTGAAGGCACCCCCAGGGCTGCCCCATCAGTCAGGCTACTCTGAAGATTAACACAAAGTGGAAGGCAGTTCCTGTCTGGGAGATGACACATACCAGCCCCTCGTGGCTTCTAAACTATCTGTCTAGGACGTCATTGTATGGCAATGTTTTGAAGGAAAACCTTTAGTTGGCTTATTTCTTCCTTTTCCAAAGTTCTTTGGTTCTATTTTTGTCAACACTGGACCAGAATATTAAGGTGGAGGGAACAATGGACAAGACAAAAAGGGGCAGATTAGGCAACCCAATCAGGGAGGTCTCCTTACCAATGTCTTTCATTGTGAGCCGCCTCCTCTGCTTCAACACAGGCTGTGTGGCTTCAACAGAGCCAGGTGGGAAGGTGATATCCCGCCGAATCATGGGGGGCTGCACAGGGGCAGGTGCTATGTGTGAGGCAGGCACTGGGGGACCTGCCTTCTGCATTTTCATCCCAGAGTGCAGGAATGGAGACTTGCTAGGAGAGGTACGGTTCTCCATTGGCCGGGGCAGGGGAGCAGGGCTTGATACCTGAGGAATGTGATTCTGCATGCTTGGTGGGGGCTGGTAGTTAGATGGAGGGGGCCTTGTCATGGGGGGCACGGGAGCAGAGGAACCATATGGGGGCTGGCGTGTGCCATGCGAAGGCCATGGGCCTTCATGATTGGCCCTCTGATCTGTGTGCAGCATTTCATCTGTTCGGTTCACGCCATGATAGGCGGGGCCCTGGGGGGCAGAGCCCGTGCTCTGCCTGTTGGCATAATTATAGGTCATGTCATTACGCCCCTGCCACATAGTGCCTTGCTGAGCAACCTCAGCTGATGCCTGTATGGGGCCGCCCATCATTTGCGGTGGCATGTTTTGCTGGGCACTGGTGCCAGGGGGTGCAGAGACACGGTCTCGGCCAAACTGGAATGGAAATTGGTTCTGGGGGCCGCCTGCTGGTCGGCGCTCAGTAGCAGCAGTGGCAGTGGCAGGATAGGCATTGCCATACTGGTTGTATACATCTTGCTGAGGGGAAGGCTGGGCAGCTTGTTGCTGGCTGGCAGGCTGGGGCTGGGCTGGGGGCAACTGCTGCTGCTGAGGCTGCCCCTGCCCAGTGCTGTATGGCACACTGTACATCTCCCCTTCATGCCGCTTAGCAGGAGGGCCATATGTGCCATCCATTGGCCGCTTGTAATTCTAAGGCAGAGAGAAGCAGAGGACAAGTTAATGCTCTGCACTCAGAGACATAAAGCCCACAGATGCCAAGATGGCTACAACCAAATGAATGGTGGACACAGACTCCAAGGAAACAAAGGAATCACCTTAACAAACTGTCTTTTTAAGTTGTTTCCAAAAGCAACCACCACTCTTTCTTCCCCTCCCTTGCTCTAAGTAGAAAAATATATAAAACCTAAAAATCAAAATAAGATCTATTTCTAGCCCTTTCCAGCTCCAAACAGAAGAGATCGAGGACTTGGCTCTTTGGGCCCAAATGGCCAGTCAGGTGAGAGAAGAATGCCAAAATACTTAAAGTGAGCTTCTTAGACTTTAACACATTAGTAACTATCTTTCAAAGGGAATCTACATGCTAGTCCATTCCCAGCTACCCTCCTCACCTGCTGCTGCTGTGGATACATTGTGGTCTGTTGGCTGGGGAAGGGGCTGCCAGAAGGGGTGCCTTGGGTGGAAAACTGATTGCCATAGGAATCATGTCTACAGGAGGCAAAGAAACACATGATCAGGGTGGGCAGTGGCAAAGTCTGAGTCACAGCAGCACTGGGAGCAGGCTTTACTCACCGTTGCTGCTGCTGCTGCTGCTGTGGGGGGTAGCGGCTAGGAGAATACATCCCCGAGTCTGGGTTAGAAGGCATGAGATTCGGTTGTGGGGCCCCAGTGCCCATGTTTCCCTCAGGCCCTATTCCAGGCTCCGTCCTAAAGAAAATTGGAGAGGTGGATTGAGCCCACTATAGCTCTGGGTGCTGGGGGATGGATAGGAGCTGGTGCCATGCTTACCTCACTCTGTCATAAGGACCTCCATAGGGATAGTGCTGTCGTGGTCCCATTGCCACATTTCCAAGACCAGGGCCGGCAGCACGGCTGTAGGGGTCACCCATCCCGCCGTTGGGGCCCTGCCCTGAGGACATGAAGGGATCACTCCCTGGAGCTGAGTGTATAAAGGCAGGCAGTGAACAAACTGGCAAGTTGGCAAGCCTAGTAATCTACACTTTGCCTGCTCCAAAGACCCAGGCCCTTTTCAGAGTTCAGGTTTGATCTCACTGTTTTCCAGACAAGTTCAAAACAGAGTTCTAAAGATGCCCCAACCAGCAAAAAGCATGTACTTGTTAAGGGATGTCAAGGTGAGGCCAGGGAAGAGACAAAGGAGGTAGGGATGAAGAGGGGTAGTTAGGACAGGAAATGCATTATCTCAGAGATTGGCTCCACAAGAACCCTGAATCACTCAAGATTTTCCCCCATTTCACTGGCCCTGTCTTTAAGAGTACAAGTTCAATAGCAATCAGATCAGTCACCTTTCCTCATGCTGCCATAAGGATCCTTATTTGGCTCATAGGACATGCGCCCCATCATGTCAGAGGTATTCATACTGGGCTGATACCCAGGGTTTGGAGTCATGGAATTCCGCTTCTGGAATGTGGAGTCACTTCCATCATTAAAGGCATCCTGGATCCCAACCGAATTGCTCCTGCTCCAGAGTGAGGAAAATCAATTAAACCCCAGATAGACCAATTCCTCCAATATAACACAGGACACGCAGGAGTCACTGGCTGAGAAGGCAGAGGCAGGGACCACCCTTGGGCTGCAAAGGAGTTCCCATGCACTTATCTCCAACCATCCCCTCAACCATCCACCTCTGCTCTTGGCCTTACCTCATGCCTGGCAAGGGAGGGATCTGACTGTGTGGTGTGGATGCTGGAGTTGGTGGCTTTAAGTCTCCTCCTTCTGCCATGGAACTGCTGGTTGACTGAGGAGTCTGGGGCCCCTGCATAGATCCTGATCCCGCTGTGGACAGAGAAGCAAGTTGAGCAGTTTGCTTGGTATGGAAGTGTTTAACTCTCACAAAAACACATGAATGACCCAGAATCTCTTTGAGAAAGTTCTTCCTAAGGCCTTTCAAGCGTGATCACCATTCTTATCAGAAGATCTGCAATATCCAGGTCATAAAGAAGGAAATTTGAGGGTTTTGTAGCTCTTTTTGTTTTACATGTAGAGAAGAGAAGTGATGCGGCCATGACATCACTATGCTGGTGATTCCTTGAGTCACTGCCAGCTTCCCTGGCTATTTCTCTTCACTTCTCCAAGGACCTTGTCTAACCTATTAAATCCTGTAATGCTGGTGCAGGAGCTCCAGTCAGAACCTCCCAAATCCTGGGTAGGGTGGAATCCAAATCTGGGATGCATTTTAGGAGCCTAGGAGAGCTCCTGTTCTAAAGCATCCAGCATAGTGTCATCCCTCAAGTTCAAATGTTCTTCTAAGCTGATAAGCACAAAACTACTAGTAATTTAATGTTTCCAATAGTTACCATTCCCAGCAGTAGATATCCCACTGCTGAGGCCTCCCCAGCTGATGAGTCATCTCAGGCACTCATTACACCCTCAGAGGTCAACACCAGGGCACATGTGTTTACACCCACCTTCCAGGCACCCTGGCCTTCTTTCCTCCCCAGGCTCGCCCTAGGTCTCAGCCTCCTCTCAGAATGGAGGGTAGGCAGAGGCACTCCCATCAGAGAGTTCCATTCATATCCCTTCCCCACTCCCTCCTCATTCATTACTATCTCAGCTCCCTGGGGAATTCAGGGCTCTAGTGTGAGCTGCATTCTAAGGTGCTGACATCAATGGGCCAAAGCTTCCAGATGGCCCTGCTTTGCTGCCATTTGTCAGTTTCCCCACTCTTCTTGTGCCCCTCCCATTCACCAGTTTACAAACATTTGGCAAGTTGCCAGGTGCACAACAAAAATTAAAATTTAAGGGCTGCTGAAGAGTACCTCCCAGGGAAGTTTCCACTGCCCACTCTCTATTCAGCCAACCTGTTAAGACCTGTGGTAGGGCAAGAGCACAGATCCTTGGCATATCCTGCTGGAGGCAGGTGCAGTAGGCCCTCTCAGCCTTAGTGGGGCTGCTGACCCCATCCTTACCAGGAGAGGGAGGCTGGATCTTGGGCTGGGACTTCTTGGAATCGGCAGCTGCAAAGATGTCTGGGGGAGGATCTTCTCCCCGTTCAATCTTGCACTCAAAGGCATAGAGACACTGGATATACTGCTTTTTCAAGGAGCTGGCAGCACTGCTTGATGTGCCCACATTGAGGTTTGTTGCAAGTTCCCGCCATTTTTTGTTCTTGTTGACCTGTATAACCAAACCACAAGAGTCGGGGTATATCTCCTGCCTGGTTTTCCTGTCCATAAGCCACAAGCCCTATCAGGCTGCAAGGTAATTCATTTTTGTAGAATCACAGTTCTTAGGTAATTACAAAAGTTAATCTTGCTTGGTGGATAGTTCACAACAAGTGTTAAATCCAGTTTTTTAGTATACTGCCGAAAAATGGTGTACAAATCATCTGCCTATTTAAACCCTACTTTTTCTGAGACAGAAAAAATAAATCTCGCTCTGTCGCCTAGGCTGGAATGCAGTGGCACGAGCTTAACTTGCTGCAATTTCTGCCTCCCGGGCTCAAGCGATACTCTTACCTCAGCCTCCCAAGTAGCTGGGATTACAGGAGTGCACCACCACACCTGGCTAATTTTTGTATTTTTAGTAGAGACAGCATTTCACCATGTTGGCCAGGCTGGTCTCAAACTCCTGGCCTCAAGTGATCTGCCCTCCTCACCTCAAGTCATCTGCCCTCCTCAGACTCTCAAAGTGCTGGGATTACAAGCTTGAGCCACTGCACCTGGCCCTAAATCCTATTTTAAATGTACTACTAAAAACTAACATTTTATAAAATGGAGACTTGTGATAGTATCAATGACTACCCTGCTTGACTTGCTTTGTCAAACTGGGGATTTACACATCTGATTTTTTTTCTTGGCATGGCACTCTCTGCAAATTTGACATTCTTGTGCCACTGCTCTCCTACATATCTCAGTGACAAACAACCACAGGTCCCTTTACCTCATCAGTCACTGTCCTAATTGTCCAGATGTTCAGCGCCTTATTTATTTATTTAAAGAGTCTCACTTTGTCATCCAGGCTGGAGTGTAGTGGTGCCATTTTGGCTCACTGCAACCTCTGCCTCCTGGGTTCAAGTGATCCCCCTGCCTCAGCCTCCCAAGTAGTGGGACTATAGGCGCCTGGTTTACCACGCCCCACTAATTTTTGTATTTTTAGTAGAGACAGGGTTTTGCCATGTTGGTCAGGCTGGTCTTAAATCCTGACCTCAGGTGATTCAACCATCTCGGCCTCCCAAAGTGCTAGGATTACAGGTGTGAGCCACTGCACCCCGCCCAGGGCCGCCTTATGACTTTTGTACCTCCCCAGCAGCCAACCTACAGTTTTGCCTCCTTCCCTCAGCTTCAGGGCACACTGACCAAGCCCATTTCCTAGATGCTCCTTACAATTAGTCTTTCTGCTCTAGCTGGACAGGTCTTCTTCTTCATGTATTCTTATGCTTATTCATTTACCATATGGTAAGCCTGTCCCAAGGCCTGGGAACAAGGATTTTCCAGTCCCTATACACAAAGGAAGTTCAATAGGTTAAAATGTCTGCTGATATGGTACCCATGATACCAGAGAGGAGTTTAGAGAGCCACAGAGGGGGACAACCTAGATGGGGCAGAGGTGCATAGGAATACTTTCTAGAGTGGGTGAGCTAAGTCTTCATGGTTGGAGATGGCCTTGGGGGAAATATCCAGACTCCCATCTCTATGTCATCTGGCCAGTCTACTGGGTTGGCCACTCCTTCCACCTAAACCCTACTAATCCTTTAGATAAGCTGAAGATTCATCTTTGCTTTCTGGGAGTCTTCACAAACTAACTTATAAATAATACGCTTTTGCCACTGATTTATCACTGTTTTTATAAAAGTTTGATTATAATCATGGCATTTTAAAGGTTTGCATCCTTATGCAATTTGGAAGACAGGCTCAGGCATCAGGATTCTCTCTGTAACTCTTCCTAGGTTCAGTGAACCCTGAAGCCCACCCAATGAAAAGTGAGTGAAACTAACTCAATGCTCCCTTTCCCTATAGGCAGGGAAGGCTTGACTATGCGATCTGAGTATCAGGCAGAATGGCAGGAATATACATGGAGCCACCTCAGAAGCCTTTTGTGGCTTTGCTTCTCATGCCAGTTTTGTGGCAGTACGCACGTGTCTTGTTTTGTTTTGTTTTCCTTTGTGGGGGAGGGGAATAAAGCCTAAAGGGAGAAGGAATTCATAACTGACTGTTGGCTGGCTTCATTCCAATCACTTTCTTTTCTGCTGGTGACAGCTGTTTTCCTCTTCTGGTTTAGAAGGTTTGGAGTAAGTCCCTCCCTGCCACGCCTCCCTGAGCTCAGCCACAAACTGATCCAACAGCAGGCTTCTGGTCTGGTGACTACAGAACACGCACAGGAGGAAAGTCCACAAGGCATAGTCTGCTGTCTGTCTATGCTGCCTCACCTGTTTGCCTCCTGGGCTGAGTCTACAAAACTGTAAGGTAACAGAGTAGGCACAAGCTCTGGTTGGTGTACGATTCAGGTATTCACTTAAGTCTTCCATACAGAATAACTAAACACATAATTTCCTACTACTTCTTCCTCTATAATAAACTATTTCTACTAAGCAGCTCCTGAAATCCTATCTCCACTGGGAAGCTTCCAGTAATGAGAAGATCTACAACTCCTCTGGCTAGCTCCATACCATCTTGCAGGCCGATTTATGCGGCAGAAACCTTGCTGAAAGCCTTTTTCATTATTTCTAACTTGTGACAGTCTAGTGGATTATATACTGTCTATATTTTACAAACAAGGAAATTAAGGTTCACAGTGGTTACACATCTTGATTAAGGTCATATATGTTGTAAGTGGCTAAGAAGGGATTCAAAACCAGGTCCATCTCCCCAACTCTTGTCTTTGCTACTATGCCAAATTATTTCCCATGGAATCGGAATGTCCACAGACTTTTCCTAGCTTTGCAACTTAGTGGGACCTTAGATACATACGTTAAACTTACTGCCAAAGCCTCACACTACCAGGGAGGTCTCTGCTTCCTGCCTTATCTTCTGGGAAACCTGTGCTCCCTGGTCTATCAATATTCAACTCAGAGATCAGGAGAGGATGATGTCCCTGTGGGATATATGGTACCACATGAAGCCAGTGAATACCTAGAAAGGGGTTTGTGGAAACCACAGGGGCAGTCAAGTGTTAGGCACCCACTCACCTGAGTCAATCCACCAATCTCCTTCACAGACACATAGAGGCGATAGAGGTCCAGAGGTTTCCTACCCACAGCAGGCAGATTTGTCATGCCCATGGCCTTCTCCTCAGTGAAGGCCAGATAACGGTCCACCCACATCTTCCTCTCAGGCTCACCACCCAGCTCATACAACTTGGTGATCTTCTCATTGGTTGTAGTAGAAGAACTGGATTTCTGGAAGGTTCAGGTCAAAATTCATAGGAATGGGTCAGATTCAAAGTCTATGCTAAGGGTTTCAGAAGTCTCTTGACTGGAGCAGTATTAAAGCTTCTTACTCTGGGGTGGTCACTAACACCTGCCCTGCCTTTCCTAAGGTTGAAAGGCCAAAAGGGAACTAGATTTTTTTTTTTCCTATAAAGGAAGGAAGCTAACACTGAATATACATTATATACTGGGTGCTGTGCTAGATGCCTTTATATATTAGGTATTGTAAATTATATATAAATTATATATTAAGCATTATAAAATTATCCCAATTTTTAAAGATAAGAAAGCAGGCACCAGGAGGCAAAGCCTAAGATCTCACAGCTTTTAAGTGGCAGGGTGAGTATCAAATCCTTGTCCAGCTGACATCAAAGCCGCTACTACTCCCACACTACTACCCAGGAGCCTGAATATACTTAAGTACTGTGTTTCAGAGAAATAAAAAAACTCACGACATGATCTTGAGGCAATGGGATGGACTAAAACGAAAAGAAACTCTTTGCCTCTTTTAAAGAAAGGAAGCAAAGGGTTCCCACCTGGTTGAAGGGCTTTGGATATCATCCTGTCCAAGACAGGAAGACGGTCAAAAGGGCTGGGAACCAGAGGTGAAGATTCACAGGAGGTAGCAGCTATGATTTTTATTTTCCCTACTTATATAGATAGGGAAAGTAAGGTATGGCAAAGGACAGAAATATTTCAAATGAACTAAATGCTGAGTAGGATCCATGGCTACCAAACAACCTAACATCACACCCAGGACCAACCTAAGGGAAGCTGAGGACTCAAGCCTCATCTGCCTTATCTCCTTCTTTACAGAACACAGGGTACCATTCCTGCTGCTAAGGTTCAGGAAGAGAAGAGCAACTAGTTGCCCATGGCACACCCTATATATCAGTGCTTGAGTACAGGAGGCACGGTTTCACAGAGGACACCAGCCAAACAATACAGAGAGTTTGATGCTGCAGGGTCTGGCATTTCCTCCATAACAAATAGCTGTGAGAATATTATGTTATTCACCAGGATCCCTTAGAGCAACCCAGACTCAAATCACTAAGCTATTATTCTGAGACCCTTCATGATAAGAAGAGGCAACAGCAGCTTTTTCAGAGACCATCTACTCCGGTGTCATAAAAAGCTGGGATCTTGTCACTCTTGTTTCTTTTTCCTTTTCCTTCCTAACACTGAAAAAGACAGGACACACAAAGTTGAAAGGAGTCAAGACAAAAATCGCTACCTTGGATTTGGATTCTGTCTTGGGTGTCCCATCTGCCTTGTTGTTCATTTTGGTGGCTGGAGTTAACTTGACATCCCCAAGGCCCATCATCTCTGGGCTGGCTGCCATCCCTGTTAAAGAGAAAAAAAATCTCAAGTCCAGTAAGTTTAGCTGTGATGTGAGTCTTAAAGAAATCCCTAGTGAGAATGACGAGCACTTACCTGCAGAATTGTTGGCCATGGTTCCACCCATGGAATATGGGGGTCCCTGAGGGTTGATCATGCCAGCCATACTATTAATCCCTTGTCCATAAGGAGGCCCAGTTGCTATCATGCCCCCTTGATTCATATTGGGGTAGCCTGGTGGCCTAAGGAAGATGGAAAGTGAGAGAGACAAAGGTTAGACTATGAGCTTTTAGATTTGAACTTGAGCCAAATAGGGTTTTGTGGTCATCCAGTTATAATTAAAAGGAAAACATTTATAGGTCCCCAAAACTAGAACTTCACAATATCCAGATATTATTTTTCTTTAATTAATTTGTTTTCTTGAAACAGGGTATTCCTCTGGCACCCAGGCTGGAGTGTAGTGGTGTGATCATACCTTACTGCAGCTTTAAACTTCTGAGCTCAAATGATCTGCCTTCCTCAGCCTCCTGAGTGCCTAGCACTATTAGGCATGCACCACTATGTCCAGCTAACACCTAGATTTTCTTATCTTCTACCACCCACAAAAGAAACTAAGAGAGTTCAAGCTCCAGATAGCAAACAATAGCTCTATCTTTTTTTTCTTTTGAGACGGAGTCTTACTCTGTCACCCAGGCTGGAGTGCAGTGGTGTGATCTTGGCTCACTGCAACCTCCGCCTCTTGGGTTCAAGTGATTCTCCTGCCTCAGCTTCCTGAGTAGCTGGGATTACAGGTGCCCGCCACCATGCCTGGCTAATTTTTTGTATTTTTAGTAGAGACGAGGTTTCACCATGGTGGACAGGCTGGTCTCAAACTCCTGACCTCAGGTGATCCACCTGCCTTGGCCTCCCAAAGTGCTGGGATTACAGGTGTGAGCCACTGCGTCTGGCCACAATAGCCCAATTTTAAAGGGTACAATTCTTTGAAGAACAGAATCTTGCTGTGTCTTATAAGTACTGCCTTCCTCAAAGCCACCTCCAAATGTCTTTTCATTTATGGGTCCTCTCTATGGCAAAAGGCATAGATGAAATGCCAAATTTACCACTTTTTTGTCATGCCAAATCCCAATCAGACTGGAACCCTCAGCATAGCACCCAGAGGTGGCTTTGCAAATTCTTGATGGGCCTAATGCAAACTTTGCACTTCCATCATTCTGAAGTCCTCCCAAATCTACCTCTTTATAGTCAATTACCCTATTCTACACCTTGGTTCATTAACAACTCAATAAGATTTAGTGTCTAAAGAAGTCATTAAACCTAATCACATGAGCCTTCTGCACTCTAGCACCAGAGTCAACATGTAGGACCATATAAAAGAGTAGGAGAAATGGTAAACCACAAGCTTACCATCTACTATTTATAACACCAGAGATCCAAGACATAAGTATTATTAAAAACCCACTGATAGAAGTTAAACCAACTACTCTGAACACTTATTTTACAAATCAAAATAAGTTGTCTTTAGCCCTGGCAATACAGTGAGACCCCATCTCTATTTAAAAAAGAAAAAAAAAAAAGGGCCATGCATGGTAGCTCATGCTTATAATCCCAGCACTTTGGGAGACCAAGGCAGGCAGCTCACTGGAGGTCAGGAGTTCAAGACCAGCCTGACCAACATGGAGAAACCCCATCACTACTAAAAATACAAAATTAGCTGGGCATGGTGGCACATGCCTGTAATCCCAGCTACTCGGAAGGCTGAGGCAGGAGAATCACTTGAACCCGAGAGGCAGAAGTTGCAGTGAGCCAAGATTGCTCCATTGCACTCCAGCCTGGGCAACAAGAGCAAAACTCCATCTCAAAAAAAAAAAATAAATAAATAAAAATAATAAAATAAATTTAAAAAAAAAAACAGCCAGGTGTGGTGGGATGTGCCTGTAGTCCTAACTATTCAGAAGGCTGAGGTGGGAGGATCACTTGAGACTGCAAGTCGAGGCTGTAATGAGCCGTGGTCATGCCACTGCAATTCAGCCTGGGCAACAGAATAAGGCACCGTCTCAAAAGTCCCCCAAACAAAACAAAATACCCCACAAAAACCTGTTTTTTTGTTTGTTTGTTGCCCAGGCTGGAATGCAGCAGCACAATCTCAGCTCACTGCAACCTCCGCCTCCTGGGTTCAAGCAATTCTCCTGCCTCAGCCTCCTGAGTAGTGGCGATTATAGGAGTGCACTACCATACCCAACTAATTTTTGTATTTTTAGTAGAGACAGGGGTTTCACCATGTTGGTCGGGCTGGCCTCGAACCCCTGACTTCATGATCTGTCCACCTCTGCCTCCCAAAGTGCTGGGATTACAGGCATGAGCCACTGCACCCAGCCAAAAACTTCTTTTAAAAGCTCTTTACATATGATGTCTGGTCCTGTGAAATTTCATACCACTCTAAGATATGCAAGAATTAACACTGCATATACACACACTCATGTTTCCCCTCTGGTTTAGGTCCAGAAGCATCTCAATAACCTCAGTGGCCCTACAATACATTTTCTTGCACTGACACCCTCTCCACTTCCCAGGCCTTACCTGTTTTGGATGGAGTTGGCAGCAACATGCATGGCAACAGTTTCTTGGGTTTTCCGATTCATGCCCCCTGGTGGGGGACACATCCCTGACCCAACCTGAGGTGGCATATTGGCCATGTTAGGGCCATAAGGGCGGTTGCCCATGGAGGCATGACTCATCCTCCCTGGAGGGAGTGTGCCGTAAGGTGGGATGCCAGGCTGTCCATGCATCTGACCTCCGGCACCCATGGGGTTTATGCCTCCAGCCATGCCTGCACTGGGGTAGTTGGCATTGGGCAAGGCATTATAGTTTGGCTGCCTGGGGTAGCCACCTGAGAGGTGAGGAAGAGAAGACAGAGAACTGGTTAGTGACTCACTAGCAACTCTCTAATCTCTCTCAACTCTAAAACACCAAACACTGTCATTCAATAATTAGGTTAGGAAAGAGACCAATTTTATGGGAGTCTTCATCTCCATGAGAAAAAGGGGGGATGCTAAAAGCATGTAAAAGAAGGTATTAGTTATCCCCTCCATCATAAAGACAGCACAGAGCAAGGCTGGCTTTGCTACCACACAGGCACTTCAACTTCCAGAAGATAACTTCCTTTCTATCTCCATGCTCTGTGTAAGATACTCAACTTTTGATATGCCTAGGGCTGCAATTTTGGGCAAAGATCTACTCCATTATGATTTATTCACTTAAAAAAAAGTAATAAGCAATAGCTATCATCTATTAGTTGTCTGTGCTCAATAAAATTAAAAGACTTTCTCATGGTGACAGAGTAAGTGGAGACAAATGGAATCCTCGCTGCCCTACTTCAGGGTCTGTCTGGGCTGGGTGGATTTAAGGCAAAGGACAAGCCCTTCTCTTACAGGGTTACAAGCTAGATGGCAACATATCAGACAAGGAACTGTTTCCTCCTCTCACCATTATCTATTCCTAACTGGGTAGTATACTGACCTTGTGGGCCATATTGACCCCCCTGGGGACCATAGCTCCCCATGGAGTTCTGCTGGTAGGAGCCCATGCCTGTGTGAATCTGTCCACCAGAAGGCTGACGCGGAGATAAGGCTGAGCCAGGCTGGGGGGAACTGTACTGTGGCATCTGGGGGTTCCTCTGCATATAACCTATTTGTGGGTAGTATCCATAAAGTTATTAGCTTTATATAATGCGAACACATGCTCTCCCTCCTTATCCTGAGACTTTACCATCAACATTTTCTTTAGCAACTACTTGCATGAAAGTCTATCTGATTTTCTATATAGTGGTGTGTCCTTTTAGGCACCTTCAGAGTGACATAAGCCATTAACCATGGATGCCAACTGTTTCTACTAAATGGAGGTTTGATAAGACAAAGAGCTATGACAAAAACCAAAATGAATGACTGAATGAGTGAAGACTCAACGTTGAGTCTTCAGCAGTTGCTGACCTAATGAGGCAAAACATAAGGGGGCACCCATCAAAACACACACAAGCACTGAGAAATGTAGACAATACTAACATGGCCAAGCCCACTCTAACTTCACAATTTGCTGCTGGGTCTCAACAGACAGAAGTGATAAACTTTTGAGATTATATATCTGCTAATTACCCTGATCTGATCACTATATGTTATATCTATTGAAACATCATTGTGTACCCTATAAATAAGTACAATTATTACATTAACTTTTAAAGAATATAAAAATAATTTGCTGCAGGAATTGTCCTAAGCTTCATGGTCAAACAGCTCTCCAAAAGCTACTGCATAGGGCACTCAAGTGTCTGCCCTAGCTCCCTGCCCCTCCCCAACGCCCAGGCTCTCACCTCGATCTTGGGCAATGCTTGATTGGTTCATGGAAGGATGCATGATGCTGTCTGACTGGCCACTGGGTGGCCGAGGTGGCATCTGGTTGCCTGCTCCAGACAAAGAACAACATAAGTATATCATGGCTAAGCCTGGGAATTCTAGCTAGGAAGTCAATTCAGAGCTAGAAATGGCTCATGGAGAGGCCAATTATCTCCCAGTATCGCAACAAAGAGATCCAGCCAACAGGTTCCAATCTCCCTTCTCCAAATGCTAAGGGGGAAACTATGCAGGCATGAGCCAGAGATGCTCTCTCCACCAGTAGAAGACTAGGGCTCCTTAATATTTCTGGGGCCAGTCACCTTTCCCTCTCCCTAAAGCCCAGCACTTGAGGGTACCTGGCACTGCAGCAGGCGAGAGTGGTCCTGAGCGAGACTGAGCAACACTGGCGGGAGAGCCAACAGGGGACGGGGAGGGGCCTCGGATGCCAGGCAGGTGAGGGGAGGTATGAGGAGAGAAAGGAGACTGAGCTGGATTACTCTGCTCTCCTTGGCTGCTGGAAATCCCTGATGTGCTCACTCCAGGACTCAGAGCTCCTTCTGTCCCCATGGGGAGGTCATCTATTGAACCAGATAGATCCTAGAACATACACATAAGAACATGGATTAGTAATATTAGGCAGAAAGATTCTACTTTCAATAATCCTACTACTTGCTTGGTATTTTCCTTAAATAACCAAGAGCAAATATATCACACACGTTATTTAGTCATGATACCATAACTGACATATGGCAAACTCTGTTAAGGATCAGGCAGAATATATATTAGACTTTTGTGGGCCATAAAGCCTCCTTCAAAACCACTCAACTCTGAAACTACCATGCAATAGTAGCCAGACAATATGTGAGCAATGGTGCAACTGTGTTCCAATAAAACTTTATTTACAAAAACCTATCTGTATTTGCTAACTCCTTTTTTATCCTCTCAGAAGCAGATCTAACACTTTCATCTTCTTTACCAGTCCCAACTTCTACAGTCATAAGGAAGCAACTAATTCAGTGAGGCTTTAGTTCTTTCCTAATAGCAGAACTTCACAAAATACTGCCAGGATGGTACCAGGAGCTACAAGAGAATGTTAACAAGTTTGGGAAACATTTATAGATCCCCTTTCCTTCTATTACATATTACAATGATGATGATTATTATTATAGGTTATCATAGCCTCCATTTGCCAAGGACTCACTCCAAGTCACCATACTTTGTAACATAAGGGGTAGGAGGTAAGAAAGAGATACACTGGATGAGAAATACAATTTCTTAACTGCCAAGAAGGTCTGAAACTATACTCCTAACACCTAGTCTATAACAGTAATCAACAAATGTTTGCCAATTGAACAAATTCTGTTTTTTTCCCAGCTTTTATGTTTTTCAGTGAGAAAACATAAAATAGTGGTATTTATTTGTAGGCTTTGTCTTAAATTAATTAATAAAGAGTTCATTCTAGGTCAACAAACTGCAGTATTAGCAAACAGGAGCTCAATATGAGAAGTATTCACCCGAGAAAATGTATCCTAACTCCATCCCCTGCCCCATGTTCATTCTCTAGCAACATTACTTCAGGCTGGGAACTAACTATAATCGAATAAATGATGAAAACCTTGATACTTAAATGGTAAAGAAAAGAGTTATCTTACAGAAACACCTATGGGCCACAGGCAATGGCTCATGCCTCTAGTCCCAGCCTTTTGGAGGCTGAGGTGGGCAGATCGCTTGAGCCCACGAGTTTGAGACCAGCCTGGACAACATGGTGAAACCCTGTCTCTACTAAAAATACAAAAATTAGCCAGGTTGGGTGGTGTGCAGCTGTAGTCCCAGCTACTTGGGAGGCTGAGGTGGTAGGAACACTTTAGCCTGGGAGGAGGAGGTTGTAGTGAGCCGAGATTGCATCACTGCACTCCAGCCTGGGTAACAGAGTGAAACTCCATCTAAAAACAACAACAAACAAACAAACAAACAAAAAAACCCCCAAACACCACAAATCTCTATGAGGTCAGATCCAAGTTGGTTTGACTTGAGTCTATTTCTGCTCACACGAACAAGCTCATCTTGGAAAGATCGGCTGAAAGTGACTTTGACTCTAAGATCTGATAGTAATGCTGAAGGTCAGAGGAGAATCTTTTAGGCTCTTCTAGTAATCGAAGCTGGGTGGACCTTCCACAAACCACTTGGCTACCTTCACTAGGCTGGGAGCATTTCTGCTGAGCTCTTGGAGACAAAGTTTGCACTGAAGGCAGGTAGGTAGGTGTGCATTTGTGCCTGTTCTCCATGCTGGCTGAGAAGTCAGAAAATGCTAGCTTTCTTTTTGATAATAAATAGGCCAGGTATGCCACAGCATACTTTAAAAATGCAATGAGAATTCGTTCCAGCACAGAATGATTTCAAGAGGCCAACCACAAGGTAACAGCAAAGGACATCTTCCCTTTCTAGAAGGACTAAAGTACTTGGAGCTACAAAGAGCTTCAGGTTAATTCTAAGAGAGAGATTCCATCCCTGGTTCTTTTCTTTTTCTTTTTTTTTTGAGACATAGGGTCTCACTCTGTTACCCAGGCTGGAATACACTGGCATGATGCCGGCTCCCTGCAGCCTCAACCTGCCTAGCTCAAATGATCCTCTTAGCTCAGCCTCCTGAGCCACATCTGGAGGGTGTGTGTGTGTGTGTGTGTGTGTGTAGAGAAGGGTTTTTTCCCATGTTGCCCAGGGTGAGCAGGGGTGTGTGTGTGTGTGTGTGTGTGTGTGTGTGTGCAGCGAGAAGGGGTTTTGCCATGTTTCCCAAGTTAAGTTGTGTGTGTGTGTGTGTGTGTGTGTGTGTGTGCAGCGAGGAGTTTTGCCATGTTGCGCAGGGGTGTGTGTGTGTGTGTGTATAGAGAAGGGGTTTTGCCATGTTTTCCAGGTTAAGTTGTGTGTGTGTGTGTGTGTGTGTGTGTAGCGAGAAGGGGTTTTGCCATGTTGCGCAGGGGTGTGTGTGTGTGTGTGTGTGTGTGTGTGTGTGTGTGTAGAGAAGGAGTTTTGCCATGTTTCCCAGAATGAGAAGGGGGGTGTATGTGTGTGTAGAGAAGGGGTTTTGCCATGTTGCCCAGGGTGGTCTCGAACTCTTGGGTTCAGGCAATCCTCCCACATTGGCCTCCCAATCTGCTGGGACTACAGGCAAGAGCCACTGCACATGGCCCAGGTGTGTTTCTTTAAGGCATGAGCCACTATGCCCAGCCCCATCCCTATTTTAAGGGCTAAGTTATACCAGGGACATCTGGCCTCTGAGCCAAGAACAAACAAAAAGAAGCAGCAAGATGACAAGAGCCATTCTAAGTAGAAAGGGCCTCAAAAAGCACTTGTTACACCCTACAGTCTATAGCAAAACCCACAACTCAAGGCTCCGTTTTAGGGACCAGCAGATTCCTTCCCCCCAGTCCTTCCCAGTCTCCATTCCTTATCAAACTACCAGCTTCTGTAATAAGAACTTTCCTGCTTATAGGAAAAAGAAGTATATTTCAGAACAGAATAGGAACCATCAGACGAGAACTTGGTTCAGTTTAAATCGCTTTGAAAAATTAAATGAGTGTCAGGCGCGGTGGTTCATGCCTGTAAACCCAGAACTTTAGGAGGCCGAGGTGGGCGGATCATGAGGTCAGGGGTTTGAGGCCAGCCTGCCCAAGGTAGTGAAGCCCTGTTTCTACTGGAAATACAAAAATTTAGCTGGGCATGGTAGCGGGTGCCTGTAATCCCAGCTACTCAGGAGGCTGAAGCAGGAGAATCACTTGAACCCAGGAGGCAGAGGTTGCAGTAAGCTGATATCATGCCACTGCACTCCAGCCCTGGTGACAGTGAGGGCCTCTGTCTCAAAAGAAAAAAAAAATTAAATGTTTTAGGCCAGGCACGGTGGCTCACGCCTGTAATCCCAGAACTCTGGGTGGCTAAGCTGAGAGACCAGCCTGGCCACATGGTGAAACTTCATCTCTAGTAAAAATACAAAAGTTAGGCTGGGTGCAGTGGCTCATGCCTATAATCTCAGCACTTTGGGAGGTCAAGGCAGGTGGATCACAAGGGCAGGAGTTCGAGAACAGCCTGACCAATACGGTGAAACCCCGTCTCTAGTACAAATACAAAAATTAGTTGGGCGTGGTGACAAGCACCTGTAATTCCAGCTACTCAAGAGACTGAGGCAGAAGAATCACGAGAACCTGGGAGGTGGAGGCTGCAATGAGCAGAGATCATGCCACTGTACTCCAGCCTAGGTGACAGAGCAAGACCTGGTCTTAAAAAAAAAAAATTAGCCAGGTGTAGTGGTGGGCACCTATAATCCCAGTTACTCAGGAGGCCGAGGCAGGGAGAATTCCTTGAACCAGAGAGACAGAGGTTGCAGTGAGCTGAGAGGCATCACTGCATTCCAGCCTGGGTGACAGAATGAGACTCCATCTCAGAAAAAAAAAAAAGAAAAAGTTTTGTCTTTAGTTATACAAGTAAATCACAAACGTTCTCATGATAAAAACATTTCAGATATTATAGGTGAAGCCAAAGCCCCAAAGGCTGTCTTTCCGTTGCCCTCAATAGAGAAACCACTGTTCAGTTAGGTGTGTATCTTTGTGGGTTGTTTTTGCTTGTTTTTTATGAGACAGGGTGGCCAGGCGCTGTGGCTCACACCTATAATCCTAGCACTTTGGGAGGCCGAGGTGGGTGGATCACCTGAGGTCAGCAGTTCAAGACCAGCCTGGCCATTATGGTGAAATCCCATCTTAAAGGGGAGGGGGGAGAGCGGGGCGGGTGGGGGGCGGGGAGAGAGAGAGAGACAGACAGACAGGGTCTCACTCTGTTGCCCAGGCTGGAGTGCAGTGGCATGATCTCTGCTCATTGCAGCCTCCACCTCCCAGGTTCACGCGATTCTCCTGCCTCAGCCTCCTGAGTAGCTGGGATTACAGGTGCGTGCCACCACACCCAGTTAATTTTTTTCTTTTTAGTAGAGACGGGGTTTCACTATGTTGGCCAGCCTTGTCTTGAACTTCTGACCTCAGGTGATCCACCCACTCTGGCCTCCCAAAGTGCTGGGATTACAGGCATGAGCCACCACCACACCTGGCCCCCGGCTAATTTAAAAAAAAAAATTTTTTTTTTTTTTGTAGAAATGGTGCCCTTGCCATGTTGCCCAGGCTTGTCTTGAACTCCTGGGCTCAAGCAATCTGCTCTTCTCCGTCTCCCAAAGTTCTGGAATTACAGGCATGAGCCACCACCCCTGGCCATGGTGTATAGCTTTAGACAGGTACTAAAGAGCTAAGGAAAAAAACAAAAACAAACAACAAAAAACCAAAACCCACCAGCCACTGCTATCAGCTCAGGGCAAGAACTGAGGAGGTCCCTTCAGCCATACTTCAGTTAAACCAGAATCACCACAGATCCACAAGGAGAATGCCCCTGGTCCACCTGAGGGATCCCAGCCTAAAGAAAACCTTTGTAGCTCTTGGGGCTGGGATCTCAGAACTCTAAAGGCATCTGTTGCTGGCAAAGAGGTGGATTCCCGTTCCTCAGGAGAGCTGTCACTTTTGGTAAAATGCCCTAAGCTTCTTGGAGAAAAAGTGCTAAATAAACCACTG